TGAATTTTAAGTCGGTCAGACGGGCGCGCAAATTTTGCATTCCAAGCAAACAGCCTGCACTGAGACACCTGAGCTTTATCTAAATGCTGCTGCAGTCTTAATTGAGCACAGGCCGTCGATGGTGGCAAATAGCAGCTGTTTTATACTTGTATAGAATACCCTGAAGTGTATGACTAGAGATAGGAAATGTTATAGTTTTTAAAAAAAAGAAAAGCTGCTACTTTCACATAACTCCAGAAATTTTTCCAGTAACTACAATATTCTGAAGAAAAGAATAAAGAAACAGAAAAGATTCTTAAAAAAAAAAAAAAAAAATATATATATATATATATGTGAAGTTAAGCAAATAATAATGCTAAATAACATTTGCAAGATTTGGCTAGAATCACTCTATTGTATTACCAAACATTCCTTCTAAACAGGATTGGATCCAACATAAGGCATTTGGCCAGATTCTTAAGTAAATAAATAAACCTTGACACACTTGACAGTAACCATGGGGAGGGAAGAATCACTGTATCTTTCATTGAGCTATTCACCGGAGATGCAGTATATTAATGGGGGTTATGCTGGGTTATGCCCAGCACTGTGCATCTTAGCATCTCCCAGCAACATCCTGCACTGCATCACCACGAAATACCGAATCTGCTGAAATAAAGAACTTCTGTCACTTCAGCAGGTAATTAAGTGGCCTTCCGCAGACCAGTTCCGGCCTTCAGTACCAACAAACACGTTCGCTCTTTAGGCCCCACTCCACAAATACTCAAGCACCATCTGCCCAGTGGTACTGGGGCAGCAGTGAGAGCGCTCGGTGAAATCCATGGTGTACTCAGACATTTGCAGGACCAACAGTCGACAGTAACTCTGTTTGCTGGGAGTTCTTATTATCAGGTGCTTCACTTTCTCAAGTTGAATTCTGATTAAAGACACGAGGAGCCATACGGTCTGTATAACGCAGACTAGCTATGCATGTTTGATGGATAGGTTAGGTGTATGTTGCATGTTGTGTAGGTGTATGTCAAGTTGTGAGTACATTATATTTATTATGTATATATATACACAGCAAGGCATGGAAGCAAGCCAGAAACCAGTTTGTAAATTAGAACGTGGGACGATATATTTCTGATTGAGGTGTCCTTTTTTTTTTTTTAAATCACAGAGTGAAAATATTTGAAGGAGCCATTTGATCCCTCTTCAATGAAAATTTTTCTTTTTAACAAAAAAAAAAAAAAAGTCAACCACTTCTCATTCTTACTTTTCCTTCCTGAGGTATAAATGACTGTACCTTAACTTCAGAATATATCTTCAGGTGATCCAGCTGGAGGAGGTATGATGGTTTTGTTTTATCTTACAAGTCACAGCTTTGACAACGCAATGAATCTATAAATTGCAACAAACTTTTGTACAACAAAATTCCTGCAAAACAGTCTGCGTAACAGACTCACAATTTACTATCTGGAGGAACGCACTTAAGATTTCCCATCTTTCTGCCCAACAGTTTCTCCTCTAGCCTTGAAAAATTTGAACAGGTACGCACAGTTTACTGTTTATCATTCTGCCTGTCTACGTCCTGTTCTCCACAAGACGTGTTGACAGGAAGATTTAGTCATACTACTAAACTGGAACACTTTGTGTTCAGTAGAGCCCTGCACTGATTTGACGTTCCTTTTTATACCTGCATTGTAAAATCAGTATACAGAATGTATTAGAGCTGTAGAGAATGAACAGTTTTCATTTTGTTTCTTCACTAACCACTCTGCTGAGTGAGGATTAGCGTAGAAGCAGAGGAGGAATGTTTCAAAAGCTAGTAAGTCAAAAAAGAAAACGCTGATGTTTACACTGGACTTTGTACCGCCACTCCCTCTCCAGTCTAAGCTAAGTGAAAAAAACCTTTTGTTCAAAGTCAGGTCAGAACAGTGGATGAAATATCATAGCTTATATGTAACATGGGCTTTTGAAATTATTTCAACATGGTGTTTTTCCACTCACTCAAATAAAAGCGTCTCCAAAGCATAAAGATCTGATGGGACTTAGCCAGACAGGTATTTATCCACAGCAGCGTAGAAATTAAGTAGTCAGAAAAAAAAAAAAAAAAAAAAAAGATTTTTGAATGAGTTATTGTTCCCCAACGTTTTCAACCAGCTTAAAGAAAATACAGTAGAACCTCATTGTTTTGCACTTAGGACTAGGAGATGAAGTGCACATCGTTTCACTGTTACCATTTTGCAACATTCAAGTGCTAACAGTTAAGCCAGGATGATGCACTTCAAGATGTGTTCTGCTCACATCAGTGGAGTGTTGTAATTCAGCTTTATTTCCTACCCTATGACATAAGTGTACTTATATTTAATGGAAAATAAGTCAAAACGAGGTAGCAGTGCCACTCTCTTTGCTGGAATGTGGACAGATCCTGGCCTAATTTTAAACAGTGGCTTAGCAAGATTCTACTGTAATTACACAAAATGTATAAAACACGAACCTTTTCCAGAATAAGGCCACTAATTTTGCCATTGGCAATAGGCAGTGAGAAACAGCAGTTAAAAAAAAACCTCACTTGATGATAGAGGTTTTTTTGAGGCAATAAACTGTGGGGAGAAGTATAAAACACATTGTCCTCTCATCCCTCCTCTTTGTTTTCCAGTATAAGTATCTCTGCTTCCTGTGCGTACTGCTCCGTGGGGAGAAATTTCAGTCTATTTTCTTAGGTGGGAGTCTAAGCAAGTCCACGCTACATTTAAAGATGGGGACAGCACTGTAAAACAGTAGGATTACGAGCTTCCCATGAGTCATGGTCATCACAGTCTGATGTCCAGACGCCCAGATTCGATACCAGCGCCCATAAAAAGGATCTGAGACGGCTGGGCACAACATGTTGTTCAAATTCACTTCTGTAACCTGAGAAAGTGACAACAAATTTATAAATTAACAATATTTTTGTGTTGCACTGATTCAGACACCTAAAATGGTAATTCTGAAATTACCATAATAACCAAAAATGTTTGACAATCCATTGTGTCACCAAAAAGGTGACAATCCATTGTTCAACACAAGTAGGGCATCTTTCAGAAGGAAAGCAGATCCAAATTCAGTTGCGCATTTAATAGATGGATTTATGCAGGTACAGAACCAATTTATGAAATATTTTACCGATACTTATGAGAGATGAGATACAAATGCCCGTTAGAACATGCAATTAAAAATTTGCATGCAAGTAGTCTTATCCATGTATACCTGGACACTTTGAAAACTAGTCAGTGTTTTTACTTTGAATGTACTTGCAAACTATCCATTTATTAACCTGTATTTACTTACCAATCCCAGAATCTGCAAGATGCTAAAATGATACACAAACATAAACCCCGTGGACAAAAGAGCCCACCAGAAATTGCAGAGTGGTTCTGGAGTGTAGATACCTTGAAAAGAAAGGAATACATTAGTATTCAGCTGAACTGCTGCGTCCATCAAACACTCGTGAATAATCCTCTCTCTTCTCCTCTGTGGATGTCAGCGCATCTGGCTTTAGCTGATAACCTACTCAATACCATTACAGTAATTAATATTTGAGAGCCTTATTTCTTACCTGGAGCGTCCTGAACAGTTTCTTCCCTCCTTCTGGTCCAGCAGTAAAATGAACAATATGTTACCTCATTAAGCTTGCCTATTTTTTTTACAAACACCAGTGATTTTTACCTCATTCTTCCTTCTACCACAGAAGTACTAAATGATTTTAAAATACAGTAATGGTATGCAATGACTTCACAAATCAGGTTATTTATACTTAAACACCTGCTTCTTATGGGAGCTGTGACTTCAGCATGCACAGAACTAACCTAGGTAGTGGCAGTTCCTGCACAGCACTCTATAAGAGCACAGCCTAATTGCCATTTCCTAAGTTTATGGTTATTTAACAACTATTAAAAAGTAATTTGCCCCAATAATGCCTAGGAACAGAAAAGCTATATAAAGCAGTCAATCCATTAATGACAGATTGTGCCTTTAAATGAAAACTACTGTGGAGATATTTTCCGATAAACACTATAAACAATTTTATAATCAGTAGATATCACGGATACTGTAAAATATTTTTTTCTCCTTCAAATGAAGTAGCAGATATCACATTATTTATTCCTGGGCTCACCCTTCTCTCTCCTCCTGAAACTAGGTTTTGTCAATTTACTGACAAAACACGCTGTCACATGGGCGAGAACGTACCAAGGAAATCAGATCTCATAAAAGTACCCTTAGATACAAGACTATTTCTGGAATTAAATATTGAAACATCATATGGTGAGAACAAAAACAGTTTACAGAGTTCTCAAGACTCTTACTAGCAGACATAAAAATTTCAGTGTAAGATACGGGGAAAAGTATTATTTTCCTTATGACTTTAATAACTTAACCTAGGGATGCAAAAGGAAAAGACACACGATGTGAAGCTTCTCAGCAGCCATAAGAAATCGTAGAGTTTCAGATGATTACAAAAACACACTGGCATTTTTTATCTACCTCTGTCTGCTCTCTGATCCATTAGATATTACTAAATATTGGAACGTGTATCCAGTACTCAAAGGATAGCTTAGAGCACAGAGTGCAATATTCACATTAGCCTTTGCTAGCTAGTGCCTTCAGTAATTACCAGGAAGACTCGACAGACGTCAGCATATACTGTACAAGGCTACTGGAAACTCAAATAACTACACAGGCGTAGCTAGCTAGGACAGAACTCACCAGACTAAAGCTGGTATAAGTATGCCTATGTATGGTATCATATGGAGATACAGGCAAATAACTGCTTTACCACACCAGCATACAATGCTGCATCCTGTCTCAGGTTTAAAAACCCTACAGGACTGCTTCCTCAATCCCTGTTGCCCTTTTACTATTCTTTTCTGCATAGTTTTCTTCCATAGTTTGTACCCATCATGCCAGTTCAGATCGATTTTGCAGAAGCTACCTGAAATAATCCGATTTAAATACAATTTTGTGAATGTTACAAATTCAAAATTACCTACACATCATTGTCTAAAACTACACCTAGTCATTGTTCCCTCAAAATAACATAGCTTCTCTGTTGCTGGTCAACAAGGAATAAGGAGTTGATTGTATGCCTGAATGACAGCAGCACATCTGCCCCCCATATATCACTCGCTGACTTTAATGAGCAACAATATTAGTGTAATTACCCAAGATAAAACTGCACACCATGTTTTAGTAAGCAAGCTGTGCCTTGCTGCAACCATGATAAACACGAGCAGAGAAGCTACTTTGAAAGCATAAGGCAGCTTATAAGATTTCTTAGCCAGTGGGTAGGTGAAGGTCAGAAGCAGTGTCTGAACTATAAGCAAAATCCAAAGGTAAAAGTGACCTCTACAAGAATAGAGGAGTGGTGGTGGAGTGCTCCAAAGGTAAAGGGAAAAAACTCACAAGTCTAATTCTTCGAACATGCATAGCAAGCACGATCTAAGAGCTGGTATCCTATTGAGAAAACAGTACAGGAGACTTGACTTAACTAGCAATGATATTCATTAAACTCCACTGCCTGAAAACATCAGATATGCGATACCACCTTGAATATGGTTTTTCATTACAGAGAGCCAGAGAAGACACAACTAGCCTTGCTATCAGAGTTCAGGAGACCATGACTCTATTTTTGGCTGCACCAACTTTAAGTGACCTGCTCAAGCTGTACAGAATCTCCTTGTGCTCCCTCCTCAGCTGCAGGGTAAAGAAAACATCGGTGGACTTGCAAAGGTTTTTTCATATTGTCTTTGCAGGGTTAGGTGCATGTTTAACCTAGATGCAAAACACAAAATAAAATTTAAATGAAGTGTCTAAAACAGCTCCCAGGAACTGGCACAGGAGCACTGTACCAAATTTGGTTGCACATGAACTCGCCTGGTTGGCAGTTGCCTGTGTTATTTGAAAAGTATCCGACAAAGCCTGAGAACAGATGGTAGTAGTCTAGAGAGGTAAACACTCCGAAAAGCTAGAATCCAGAGACCTTGATATTTGGAGGACTTACAGTGCGGGTAGTATATAAACACTAAAATAGAGAAGTGAACCCAGCTATGAAACAAGACTGGAAGGAGAAAGCAGCCAATAAAAGACTGAGGAAATTGCACAAGATGACAAAACAGATCAGTGGCATAATTTGGCTTTGAACCTAAGCTTCTCATGTCCAGCTTCAATCTAGTCAGGGGATCATGTTTCAGAAGTCACTTAGGAGAGCTGTTCAGGTTCCTCCAGCAAAGAATCTCACACTGCTACATCCTCCCTTGACTGCAAAACTTCAAAAAATACATTAGCAACTCTCAACCTCTACAGACTTATGATCTTGATATATAATAGAAAAATTCCTCCTTGCTAGACTTTGCAATCCTGAAAATAATAGCGTGATTTTCAGCAGTATCATTATTTGGACATCAAGGGACAAAAAGGAAACAATGACCTCTGCACAAAAGCATTCCAGAGAGTTCTGGATTCCCAAGTGTGCTTTGGGAAACTAATTTTAAATTCATACCTGGGATATTTTCTGTACGTTTCTCATCAGATAAATAATCACCATAGATTTTATTACTCTAGGGTCCTGCTGTTCAACAGATGACTGTTTAACTGACTGTTTAACAGTGCAGTGTGGTCTATTTTCTGTTAACAGAACCATACAAACAGGAAAATTGAGACCCAGCTGGGCGGTCGGTTGAATGGCCTGTGTTGGCTTTGGCAAAAGCTACTTGCTGCTTGCATAGGAAATCAATGTCAATAGGTAGCAGTGAGTTTCACTCTCTATTCCCAAAGGATCACAGGCAATACTTACATGTTAAGCACTTTCAAAAATTTAATCCAACTGCCAGTCTGGCACTAATCTCATTCTCAAAAATGCTCACGCCCAGGACAGTTGAGACCGTTCCAAATCAGGGTCATCCAAGTAGGCTGTATATTTGCTCTGGTGTTGAAATAGCACGGCAGCGCATATTTCAGTTTAAGTTAAACATCATTATTTCAATGGCATTGATAGGAAAGATTTCATATAGGTTGAAGAGTTTGGGGTTCATCATCTGCTTCTGCAACAAGAATTTTTTGACCTTGAACATGCCAAGTGCTTAATTTTGCCATCTAGGAAATGGAAGCGGGGCTTTAAAAATCCAAAGATCAACAAAGAGAATCAGTTTCTTTTATACTGCCCCCCCCCCCATCTTGTGCTAGTTCTAGTGTTCTCATGAACTATTATTTTTATTTAAAGTTCCCAAAACATAGGCTTGTAAAAAATTTAACACAACTTAATAGAAAGTAATACTCCTTTTGTATTTCTGTGAAAACATAACACAGGAGAAAATTACTCCTCTGAATTAGAGAATTAGAACCTAAATATAGCACAATTTTTTAATTTAGTAGGCTGTTAAAATAATCCCTTTTTCCAAATTAACATCTTGCTTTCACTCCCACTACATTTGATACAGCTTTACCACTTTTCCAGCCCAGCGCACTCTCCTTCAGTAGCCTCACAATTACAGGTAGACCTGCTTAATCCAAAACTCAGAGCAACTATTACAACTCCTTCATTTTCAAGCTCATAAAAATGTGAGAGCAAATTTATTTCCATTTTATTTCCCTTGATCAAAGTGTTAATTCTAGTAGTGTGGCCTACTGAGCTAGCCTAGAGACCAAACTTCCTTTCCAGGGGAAAACAGGAAAAATGTTCTTAAAAGGATGAGCCTGAAATCCAGTTTCCCCCACAGCTGTTCTGAATCGATGTGTAGGTTTCAAAATACTACCTTATGCCAGAAGATTTCTGTTTCCCTCAACGCCAGCTACTCTCATGAGAATCAGCTCAGACAGCACTCTTTTATATTACCTGCTTCTCTCAGGAACCATTTTTTATATTCCATAAAGAAGTGGCAGCAGTTCTTCCTCTTCCCTCATATAGTAGTAGTAGTTTTTCCATCTACTGGTATGTACCTTTCTACACTTCTCTGTCTCTTAGACAGAGAGAGACGTCTTTAACAGATGTTGGGCCCACTCAGAGAATGCCACATTAACTTCCTTATTTAGTTTGAAGTGTTTCGTAACAGGCCACCTAGCTTCAAAGGAACTGTAACTGCCCAGCGTGTAAACCTCAGAGACGCATCCCCTCCTCTTCCTCTCCAGCTCTCTTAAATCATCAAACAGGATTATCCTGAAACGATCAAGCTCTAAGAAAGCCTGCAGCATAAGCCTGCAGCCAGAGCACTGGCACACACCTCCAGCTGCTGAGCAGTGCCACAGCTGCCCTGCTGCTCCAGCTGCCATCATGCAAGCACAGCTGGACAGCAAACCACGCATTTACGGCTAATACCTGGGATTCAGGAGGTAGAGAAAGCTGGAATAGGAACACGGAGGCTGCCAGCAGGAGGATCACGCACAAGATTTGACAGGT